TTGGGGTTAAGGGCCTTGCTCAGGGGCCCAACGGAGTAGGATTCCTCTGCCGGCCGCGGGATTTGAACTGGCAACCTTCCGGTCACAGGCGCAGAGCCACCGCTCCGCCCAGGTGACATGAGCCAGGATCAAGCCCACTACTCCTGGAGCAACCTACATGCCCGGATTCTAAAACTACACCTCAAGAGAGCACCTTAACTGGTTCTGCCACTCAACAGCCTAAAATCAAAATATATGCTACTAATTGCCCAGACATTACAAGCCTGGTATAATAGCCAGAGCCTAGGCAGATACTGTGCCTTCTGAACGTTTTGGGACAGCAATATCAAATCTGTTATTTTTGTGTTTCTGTCATCAATCAGAACAAGAATAATAAGTCAAATATCAAATACTTTTTAGAAACAAATTGATCATGGAAATTATGTGGAGAGCAAGATGCGACTCATTCACACATATTTGAGTCATGTCCAAAAATACATCAATACTGGAAATCTATACATATAACTCTTAATAATTTAGTAAATGTGAATATACCATTTGAATTTTGTGTTATATACTTGGGCAATTTCGACATTGATGATATTGAAGTAAAGGATAGATATATATTAAGGATTCTTCTAGCAGCTAGTAAAAAAGTAATTACACGAAAATGGCTTACAAAAGAAGCTCCAACACATGAACAATGGGTTATTGTTGTGAATGAGATCTATATAATGGAAAAATAACTTTTTCCCTCAGACTGCAGACAGAGAGGTTTAGCAAATACTGGGAAACATGGATCCAATTTATCTCCCTACAGGGACCTGATTCTAGTTTGAGAAAATATGTAGTGATATCTATGTGTAGACCTTTTTATTGTTTGTTGTGTTTCTTATCAGACAACTGTTTTTTATTTTTTATATGGCCCACCATACCCGCTGGCATAGTGTAAATAGTTCATTTTATATATACAATGTGGCAGAAATGTAACATGAAGGCAAATGTTTATTCTGCTTGTATGGTTATGTTGTTCGTAAACCCTTTCATCGCTAAATAAAAAGTTGTAAAAAAAAAAGATCATATTAGAATAAAAAGCACACTGTGTTCAAACCAGTAATTTGAACCAGGTTAAGTTAGTATAAAAATTGGGACATATTCACTTTAATACATTTCAATGTATGCATGTTCCCTTTGAGTTATTAACTTGTTTGCATTAATAAATTTGATACATTATCTATCCCAAACTAAGAGAACTAGCCAAAACATCATACAGGAATCACATTTGATATGATACACATCAACATACAACAGACAGTTACGAAATCGGTTTCCTCCGAGTCACTGCACATTACCCTGATGACAAACAGATGCTGAAGGAAAGAGTTCTGTGTACAATTAATGGGACAGCTCGTTAAGAAAAATGACAGAAAAAGTTAGCTATTAGTCACTAGTGCAGTAAGGAGGAGATGATCGGTTTTTGAAACTAGTTTATATTATGGATTAAAGGACATTAATATTAATATTAATATTGTAGATTATCCAGAGATGTTACACAGCTGAACTGTGGGGATCATCAGTGTAGCGTTGTCCTGCATAACAAGCTCTGATGGTATATTCAGCCAGAAAACTTTCATCCGTCTAGATGCTGGAAATTCTTTTTTCATAATGTCTAAATTATAGTTTCAGCTTCAGAAGATACTAACAGCTTTTGTTGTCTTTATATACAATGCTGAAATAAATCTAGTTCCAGAATAAGGAAACCTGTAGAAGACCAACAGAGAACGACAACAAGAACAAGCTGAATGAGCTGAGTTTTAAGAGTCTTGATGACTGGTTCTTTTCTACACCAATTCAGAGATACAAAAGCCCTACAAGCTTCTAAATCTGACGCTATTTCACCACTGTATTTTAGGAAGGACTTAAATGTCATCTTCATCCTCTTTTAAGCAAAAGTTACACATGTCCTTAGCTGAAAAGCAAATATTTATCTTTTCTTTAGAATAAATCTGAGGTTCACACCTTGCATCTTTGACTTAAACTGCTTCAGAGTGAGAAATATGTCTAGTGGGTACAAGGTGAAGGCTAAAGTTGGGTAAGGAAATTCTGGACCAAGTGCAGGAAGACAGCAACATTGCACCACTGTAGTGAAGCATAAAATGCCCATGACCAAGGATATTTCAGATGTCAAGGATTCCAGTGATGATACTACTTTGCCTGCAGGTCATATGCTATCCTACCCTGAATGCAAGATTTCTATCTCCTTCAATGATGGAAGAAACACACTGCTGTGTCCTCTTCTTGCAAGCTTCACCTAGTCAATTCTGACTACAAAAGCCCCATGGGAAAGAGATTTGTCAACAGTAGGAAAGAAAAAAGAAGCCCGTTGAAACCTGGAAAAGTGGCGCTTTTTTCACAGTAATTTGATTAAAAAGGATATATAGAGTAGAGTTTATATAAAATAGAGTTTTTTAGTTTTCAGCTAATTTTGTTCAAATATTTTAAACATAATTATCACAACATTTTTAAGACTAGCTTAGAGTTGACTTGTTGAATGTTTAAAGAACTTACTCCTTTGAAAATAGGCTTAATGTTACTTTAAGTTGATATAATTTACTAAATGGAATCTTTAAAACTGCAAAACAAACGTATGACCTTAAGTAGAGGAGAGTTTTGACAATATTTTGGGTTGGGATGAGTTGTGGTTAATAAGTTGCGGGTTATTGGACCAGGTTAGAAGCAGGTCTTTAAGAATCAGTCACCTGCAGAACTCTTGTCGTCCTATACTTTCAAATAAAATGTACCCAAAAAACTGTAAAACCAGTTCCTTAATAGTCCTGAGTCTATAAAAGTGAAAAAGACAACCAGAAACACCTTATAAAAGGAACTGTGACACTCAAAATGTTGGACTCACCTGTGCATCAGAAACTTGCTCTTGTGGGAACAACTGAACATTAAGGCTGTCTGTTCCACAGGAATCCAAGATGAGGGATTTTCTGACTTTTCTGGCTGGGGCATCATGCTTTAATTTAAAATACACAGCATTTGTTTTCAATCGTACAGTATATATCGGACAAAAACAACTTAAGTACAAGACCGACTTACAACCACACATCCATGATCAGAAAAACCGATTAACCCTGGCGAGGATTAAGGCAAAACAGTTCTTGTCCCAGAAGAATAAGGCACTAGGCAAGACTACACAATGGTTGGGATGCCAATCCATCACAAACACAAATCTTAAATTTAGAAATACCAAGTAAGCTAAGCAGCGTCTGTGAGGAGAAATAGAGAAGACCCACGCAGACATGGGTAGAACTTGTAAAATAAATCTTCAAAAAGCGTCACAGATTAGAATCAAACTCAGGGACACAAAGCTATGACACACCCTATCGCCCGTTTCACATTTTTTTCCCTCCTATAATAAAGCGTGTGTCAACAAAGAAATATTTTTCCCTCTGTACCATATACAGATACCATATGCGACTTTAATTATTGTACCTGATTTGTTGGTTCCACAAAAGTTAAATATTCCTAGATTTTTTTATTTTCAAACATTTTTATTATTTTAAGTGTTCCAATTAGTCATAAGGATGAAAAAGATATAATCACAACACTCTTCAAGGAATACAAGTGCCTATGTGTACACATTAGCCCTGCTTATACTATATACTATAACTTATAACATTGCAGCATATTCATGAAGTAACCAAAAATGTGTAGAAGTGAAACTTGTCTACTGGTTGCAACTAAGGTTGGTAAAACAAGTTTCATGGAGGCAGGAGGGGGATACCTCGTGTTTCCAGGCAGCAAATTCAGGTTGCAAGTCCCTCTGGAATGATGCAATTGTCCCAGTCTCCTCTTTCAGCACCTCCAAAATGTCCTCCTCCAAGTAGGGCAAAGGCTGATGCACAAAACACAACATGAACCCATTAAGAAACTTGCAGGAGCAAAGAGTAAACAAACCAAGTTTAGAATGGCCTGAAGGTTGTTAAACATTTTAATATTTAGGTTACTGAAAAAAACCTACCACCATGAAGTGGTCTATTAAATAAACTGTGTTCCCAATTTTCTATTTCTAATTTCTATTTCTCAAATTTAAGAACACAATTAAAGGCTACAAACAGGAGAAGGCCATTCGACCCATCTAGTCCATTAAGTGCTCCAGGGAGATGCATGTCTTGAGCAGTTCTTTAAATGCTGAGTTAGAAGATAACAGCTACTGTACCAGGTGATATAATCACTTACCACCATTTTCAATGGTCCATACATCCTCTCTTGGGCAGCCAGTGCATTTTTAAAAGGTGTTGGGGTCCTGGGACTAGGGCCCATAAGAGATTTTCTTATTTTAGGGGTTCTGAACCTGCATAGAATGGCAATTATTAAACATATTTATTTAAAGCATAATGACCCGTACATTCATACTACCAACTGAAAATTTTGTCTGTAACACTGCTTTTAAGTGAAGGCTAATTTATAGTTTGCAGAACCGTAATTCCTAACTTTGCAAAGAAGCACAGCGGACTGCAGGGTTTAAAAACACGAGAACTTAACCTACCCTGCATTTTCCTTCTGATGCTTCGGGGTCATATCCTTCTGAATGGGAGTTGTAATGAAACATTTCTGCCCACAGACTGGAGTAGAAGTAAGTGCTGGATTGTCAAGATTCAAATTTTCATTGCCCGAAATGTTGAAAAACTGAAAAAACGGGTCACAATATAAATAATTATATAATTGCACAGAAAGGATTTTACATTATAATGTTCTGAAGAGTTCACAACTGATCACAATTACAATACATGGTAATTAAACTAAAGTTAAGTCAGATCACAGTAACAGTAATGTAATCCAAACAATAAGATACCGGTCACATTATGAAAATATTTTGATGGGTTTTTTTTTTTAATTAACTGTAGTAAGTAAAAAGGACAATGATAAAAACCCTGATGTTAATATATTTACAAACATAATGTATTTTGTTCCAAAAGGAGCTGTTGTGGTGACTGACCTGTGAGGGAGAAAAGGGCAGGGCTTTGATAGGAGTGTTTTTGACTGAAGCACTGCTTGTATCCAGGAAGGAAGTAGCACTGGTCTCACTGGACGAAGACTGGTCGGCTCTCTCCCTCTTTTTCTTCCGGAGGATTGTGGGGGGCTTGCTGTACTTGGCCACAATGGGTGATGTTAAAGGGATGAGTCTCCCCTTGACAGAACCACTGCAGTTTTTAATTATGTCAGAAACTGCTGTGCCATCGAACTGGTACCCCACAACCCCTTGGCCACCCCCTTGGGTGTGTGGAAAGAGACCAGGAGTTTGCTTCGCTGGCGAGGCCACTTCAGAGAGGCCGAAACTAGCAACTTCACTCCAAGCCAGGGGATCCTGTCAGGATAAAAAAAAAACACTTTACTTGATTGATCCCCCAATTTACTTAACAGCCTATAGTGTGAAATACTGAAACACTGCTTCATCTTAGGAGTGTGGGATGCCACACTGGTTTCCTGGGATCAACTCCTTACCGATTCTATGAGCTCCAGTGTCTCCGCAAACTCAGGAATTGTCTGCAGGGATGAAAGAACAGCACTTGCTTCCACTGCGAGGAACTTGCTGGGAGACACTTCAGGGGACAATACTGGCTGGGGAGTCTCCCGAGATGGACAGAATTCCAAGCTCTGGTCCCCAACACTGCTCACTGTAGTGTTTGTCATATTACCGTCACTCCCAGACCAGTCAGTGTACATCTGACTTTGCTGTAAACAGACGGGTGAGAAAGAAGAAAGGAAGGTCATTGGGGTGTATGTATTTTAACACCTGGAGCCCAGGGTGACAATCCATCTCTGGCCATGAATGAAATAAGCCCGAGGGCCAAGGACGGGTGTAGACCCGTAAGGAAGAGATGGAAAGGTCAGGATCAAAACATCCTCACCAGGTTCCTGGGACCAAGAATGACTACAGCCAACACAACTGGGTACTGGACTGAACATGGAGTCGTAACTGATAGAACAGTTACTGACTACATTGGTATGAAACAAACTATGCCTACTGTTCCATGTTCAGAAACAGGTTTACAGTAATTGTGAGCAGACAAAGCATACCTCAGCCATTCACTTTTGCTTCTACAATTACACTAAACTCAAGAGACTCTCTCACGTGCTTGAGAAGACAGCAGCAATGCTTATTTTATGGCATAGCCTTAAACACAGACAATTCATCTTGCTGAACCAGTTCACAATTTCCCTGTGTCACAGCATCCAAAGCTGCCGCTGGAAGAAGAAAGGATGGTTTTACTTTTTATACAGAAGTCCATTTTTGCAAATTGATTAAAAGATGTAGAGAGGGTATTCCAGGTGGTCTGCAGCAAAAATGGAAGGAGATCTGTCCAATCCCTAGTTTAATCCACAAACACACCGTGCATTCCTGCTGCTGTGCAAAATAAGCAGTCAAATAAGTACTCGCTGCAGAATGCCAAGAAGCTGTTAGCGGGACTACGAAGCACAGCTCATGAGAGCTAGAGTGGGTGAGATGGAAATGAGGAGACTAAGCAATCTAGGGGGTTGTGGGTGCGCACACACAATGTCCTTACACATGAGGCTCCCTTTCTTCTGACTTCATTCTCAGCTGACATAAGCAGCAGCTCAAGTTCCTTAATTCTTTGTTCTTTATCAGGATCATCATCACATGGCTGCTGCAATAAATACGTGGGACAAGACAGATAAGGAAAGGAACGAAAAGAGGGGGAGATGGGGAAACATTTGGTTTACTGACATGTTGTTACTGAGGGTACAATGCAGCACGTTGGCCACATCAGAGTTTTCAATGATGTATCTAAGATGAAGGATTTAAGAAAAACGGAAGGCACTCAAGCTTTCTAATTGTCTGCAGTGGTCACTATTGCATTTAACGATTTCTGATAAGATTTTTAAAGACATCTGAAGAGGATTTTCTAATACTTCTGCACTGCATGAACCATTCAACCATTCCATCTTGTGATCTATGTAAAATATCTGCCATAAAAGAGGTCCAATGCAATAAAAATACTTTAAAAAAGACTGTTAAACTATTGTAAAGCTTGTGATCAGTCTGCTTTCCTTTCTCTATTTAGTTTACAACAAGACCTTCCATGGCATCACTAACTGAAAGTTTGAGTATTTAAAGAGATTGTGCATTTATTTTTTGAATCAAAAGAAAACTATTTTTCTTTAATCAAAGCATCTATAAATTGTATTTGTTCCAATTAGTATTGTACTTTTAAAAGGAATATTTATGTAAACAAATGTGTTCCCTTGTCATATATATAAAGCATGTTTGACACTAAAAGTAAAAAAAATGCACTAAATAGAAAGCAGTGGATTATTAAAGAGGGTCACCTTCTTCAGCATGGTATCAAGGAAGAATTGGATATGATAAAAGCACAAAACATTAAAAATGCACAATGATAATAAGCCTTCTCATTATTTACTCATTGTTCTTGTTCCATTTACGGAAGCTTTGTAAGTGCAAAACTGCCCTGGAACCATATTGTACCAGCATTCAATATACACTTGCAAAATCTAAAGTCTGAATGACTTGATATTTAAATTTTTCCTACATCAATGATAACTCTGATAAAAACCAAATCAGAATACTAAAAAGCCAAAAGTACAATACAGATTGTTAATGCAAACAAAGGAAAATAAAAAGCCTGGTGTATTAAGGTTTTAATACCAAAGAGAAGCAAAGATCATACTGACAAAGAGCAGTAAATAGACAAGTACAGACTTCAGCAAAACCAGTTTAGGAAGCACACTGCAGCTTTTGGAAAGTGGTGACACGACCAGAATTAAGAGTGAGTCCTTGGAAATAACCTCATCACACTTCAAATCCAAAGGACTGAAGCAGCAATCCCTCATGAAACACAAGACACATCATGAGGGAGGTTTGATGAGATGTGCTCTTTGGAATGAGATGCTCTTCTCCCCTTATAAAAAGGGGAGAAACACAGTATGTCAGACCTGCCTTCCCCAGGCAAACAGTACAAGGGGTCACTCAGTTTAGAGTGGAAGTGGAAGGGAAATACAATACAGTATATGCTCTATAGATTTAAGGTATTTTAACAAGTACTATTTAAATCCCCAGAGCATCAATACTCCTAATGCAAACCCTGTTGTTATTGATGTAGGCAATATCTCATTGAAAGCTTAATTTGACATTTTTACCTGATTTGGGAAAGTTGTGACAAACTGATTCCGGTTTTGCATAGTTCCCACAGAACAGTAGGGCTGGGAAATCCTCTTGTTTTCCTGGCCTGACTTGTAGGACGGAGACTTCTCCTGAAGGTACCCCTCAACCTCCACCTTCCTCCTCATTGTAGAGTTCCAATGGTTCTTGATCGAATTGTCTGTCCTGTAAGCAATTTCATCAAAAAACACAGTTAGCAAACTAATGGCTTGACTTTCCATTTATTTTTTCACTTTATTGCTGTAAATTACTTTACGATATTTTTTAAACTCATTTACTTCTTAACTTAATTGCAAGTTCTCCGGGAAAGTGTGTCAGTAAGCAAAATGCTTCACTAAACATCTTCAGTGTCTACAAGAAGGCAAAAGGAGCTCCGTACCTCCCAGGTAGTAACTTGGAGATTTCAGCCCAGCGGTTTCCCAGGCGCCTGTGGGCTTCATAAATGATTCGGTCTTCCTCTTCAGTCCAGGAAGACTTCTTGACCTCAGGATTCAGGTGGTTATGCCATCGCTCCCTGCACTGCTTCCCAATCCTGCCTTGGAGGTGCTTGGCAATAACAGACCAGCGCTTGGGACCATACTTGTGCACAAGTTCAATGACCTGTCCTCAGAACAACAGAAGCCAAGTTCAGAGCACAGAACAAGCAGCAGCTCCTGTCAATCCAAGGGCTTACAGACAGAAGAAAAGACCTGCCAAAAGGTCTGGCACAAAAACAGCATACCAGGAATTGACTGTCATGACCACCCCGCACACCGCAAATTTGAGCTCCTTCTATTAGGAGCTAAGGAACCTACTTAAACTACCTAGATCTAAGTACAACAGAACCAGGTTACCTTTATTCCCATGGGTATGAGCCTGCTTAAATTGGAGAACTGAACGGTGTGTTTTACTTTTTTTTTTTAATCATGCATTTATTATCTACAGTATCTCACACCCAGGTGACCCAATTTCTTTTTTTTTATAAATTGTGAGGATTACTTAAAGCTGCTAACTTGTTTTTTTCTTATCTTATGCTTGTATGTTTCTAGGTTGTTAATGAGTTAATGTTGTGTTAAATGTATTCAATATTGTATAGTATATTGTTACTGCCTAATAGGGGTGAATTTCCCATCTAGGACAATAAAGTAATAATGGTTGGAATTAAGAAATCTACAGCTTGAGATTCCTTTGATTAATGATAAACCAAAGCACACTTTTTTTCTTTTAAAAGATTATCATAACAACTTTTACATATAGATCCATTTTTGTTTCAAATCCAATATATATAAAATGTTTTATTGGTGCTTAGGCACCAAAAGTCTATAATATATTTTTTTTTTATTTCTTAATATTTGTGACTAAAAGTGAAACATGACAGATGAGACATGTGGAGATAAGAGAGCACAGTTGCTCAAGTGCGAGATGCAATTCCTGGCATTCCTGCAGCCTGTATGTAATGCTGTTGTTACTCCCATGGAACGTATTGTTCTCCTTGCTCACATGGGATTGTTCTGAATACACAACCAGTTTACAGGACACTCCAGAAACGCATTAAAGAAAAATCTGTGAGTCTTTGATCACTAGCACTAGCAGACAATGCATTTCCTTTAATATGAACTTTCATGTACAACATATCTAAGTGAGTACAAATAAAAAACAGTATTTGTACTCAGTAAAGGCAGAAATTTAATTATTTCAATTAAATCCCCAGAGAAAACAGTCAGTTTATTTTTTACACTTTGGTTAATGTTAGTCCAACCAGTACACTGAACTATCATTTTGTGAATTTCATTCACTATATGCTTGTGTAAGTAAAAGCTGAAGAAATGAATCTAACTTATACTGTAATACTGTAACCCGCCTGAACCCGCAGGTCCACCTGTCTGACAGAGTGCTGCCTGAAGTGTCAGAAAGTGCAGTCTCCAGGATGAGTTCACACCCAGCTCCCATTACCCTCTGATCCTCCTCCTTTGTCCAGGGTCCTTTCACCAGCTCTGGGTTGAGCACCTTCTGCCAACGGTGTTGACACTGGCCATCTGTTCTTTTCTGTCAAGGCAAACCAGTAAATATCTGAACACCTGCAACTCACAGACACAACAGTGCGTGGTCTTCTTTTTTTAAACTCCTGAGAAAGAGAGGCAGTCACCAAGCTGCCAAGGCTACTGATTACTAAAGAAACTGATCTCAGATCAGTTTAATGTTGCTCAAAACCAGAAAAGCAGCCCAAATAGACAGACCTCCAGTGGAATTTTTTCTCATCGTAATATACAAAAAATTGCAAATCAGTTTCTATGTAACATTTCAGCTTTGCACAAATAAGTGCCGATTTTTATTTTTAAGTAAATGTGGCCAATGTAGAATCCACATTGGTGTTGTTAAGACAGTACAATCATTCATTTTACTATTAATATTGGGTTTAATAATTCCTTTCATTTATATTTAATCCTGAATGACGGCACCTCCTAGAGCAGTATCCGTAACACTATACTGGGGCACCGGTTTGGAATTCAGGTCCATAGGAAGAATACCCCCTACTGGTCCTACTACAAAACTTGCACCTGCAGCCTGGTTTTTCTAGGCTTGCTCAGCTTTTGATGTCTGAAAAGATGAGGCTAGAAGGTGGTTACACTACTGTTTAATGATACAAGAGCAGTTGAAAAAACTGCTCTGCAAGATGTTTAACAGCATGTACATCCCTAAAAATAAGAAGCTTTAGCACAAAAAAAAACAGGCATCTTTATATGAAATGCGTTTCATGTGATGAAATTGGCAGCATGGTAAAAGTATAATATCGCCTTAGACACCACTCCATAGAACATATGACATATTACTTACTGGAAAATGTACAGCAATTAAGCCCCAAGCATCTGTTCCATGTTCTTCTACCAGCTTTCTAAGCTTTTCATCCTTTCAACGTAGAGTAAATAAAGGAAATTAGTCATGTCCACAGCTCCATGAGTGGAGAAACTCTAAGAAAGTGCAGGAAATTAAGTGAGGAAAAAAATGCTTTATTCATCAGTAGAGTACTGCACTGACACTAGAAGATTCCTCAGGAGCATCAGAAAATAAGCCTTGGAGTGCATAATGAGAAGGTGAACTCTGCTACACCGTTTCACACTCTTGACATCAAATAAGCGAAACATAAAACTGAAAGGTATGGTTTAAGAGGAGGAGGCGTACAGGGAGGAGGCGGAAACCCTGGCAGCATGGTGCCAGGAGAACAACTTCTCTCTGAACATCACTAAGACTAAGGAGATGATTGTGGACTACAGAAAACACCATGGAGGAGATCACACACCTATCTATATCAATGGGACTTCATTGGAGAGGGTCAGCAGTTTTAAGTTCCTGGGAGTTAACATCACAGAGGACTTAACCTGGACCCACCACATCAACATAGTGGTCAAAACAGCATGGCAGCGCCTATTCTTTCTCCGCAGGCTAAAGACGTTCAGCATGCTAACACATATCTAGGCCAACTTCCACAGGTGCACTACTGAGAGTATCCTGACTGGTTGCATCACTGCCTGGTATGGGAACTGCTCTCCGCCCGGGATCACAAAGTACTGCGGAGGGTGGTGAAGTCAGCCTAGCTCACTACTGGCTGTGAGCTGCCAAACACCCAGTGTTTGATGTATTAAGAAGCGCAGGTCTATTCTCAAGGACCCCAGTCATCCCAGTCATAAATAGCCAACCTGCAGCTCCTTTAGCAAATCACCCATAATGGCTACATGGACATACAGGTTTCATTGTATTCATCATACTGCACTACTTGGACATAATATATTGCATACACCATGGACACATAGCAGGTATGCTGTTTTTGTGCCAGACCTATTCATATCTATTCATATTGAGTTTTGCCTGTGTTTATTTTATTTTATTTCTATTACATTATTATCTATTAATATGTCACCTTATTTTTTTATTCCCCCCCGGTGAGCTTGTAGAAAAGACATTTCATTGCCAGCAACTACTGCTGCATGCTGTATTGTTGTGCATTAGATAAATAAACTTTGATTGATTGAGGACATAACTGTACAATATACTGCAATACAAAAAATCAAGTAAAAGAGGTATGAGTGCGACAGGATTTAAAATCTGCACTAAATGTGCTCATGGTGTCGGTCAACTTGCTAATTTCCTGTCTCACCTGGCACAGTGGAGCAGAGAGGAGGTCACCTGCACTTTGAACACTACAGAACACTACAATGCTGCTTGAACCACAGTGCGCAACACCAAATAACTGAAGAATTTCCCAGTAGGAAACAACAGGTTCCCAAATGCATTCGCCACTGGCATACATGAAACTACAAAAGAGCATCCCAGAGAAAGCATGCCAGAAGAGGGAGCAGTGAATGAACACTGGGGTCTAATGATGCAGACTGATGGGCCGAGGCAATAGCAATAGCAAATCCCTCCATAGTGGAAGCTGGACATGGCGCAGTGAGGGCCACTGATCACCTGTCCAGACCTCAAACAGTAATTTTTCATCCCACCCCACAATGGGGTGCGCCGTTGTCTTAATGTCAACCCCCTCATCACTTTCAAATGAACACGTTTACGGACACATTTTGGAGGCATCAGGAAATCTGGGTTCACTCCTTTTAGCCAAGACTAGGGTGAGCCTTCAACAGCAGGAAGCACTAAACTTGCACAAGTACAGCTTCTCTGAACCTGGTTTGCTCAAACTGGAAACCTTCAGAAGCCAATGTGTACATTTCTCAGGGATATTGAAATTGGGTACATCCCTTCACTCAGTTTGTCCCCTTTCACTTGATCAGATCCCAAAAGTGTTGTACCACAGTCTGGAATACCTCTTCCCGAGTCCACTTCACTTTATTCATCAGTTTCCTGGAGTTCTTTTTCACAGCCAATCTGCTTTCAGCATCCAGGGAGAACAGCTCCTCCTCTTCATCCTCACTATGAAAGAAAAAGAAGATACGGGAATAATTCTCATGAAAATGGATAAGCAGGGACCAGTCTGAAAGGCTAGTCTACAGATATGAAGAAAGACGGGACTATGCAAGGGGGAATGCCTGCCAGCACAACTCTCTTTGTGCGTCCTTAAATTCTGGGGAAAAGTTTAACAGCCTTGTCAATTAACACCTTAAGAATAAAGAATTATTTGTACCTCAGGTTGTCTTCGGGAGTCTTCAATGAAGAGAATAATGTTCTTTTTAAGAGCTCAGGAAAATCCACGTTGCAATCGCAAGACCACATCACCAGTGCAAACAGTACATAGGCACTGTTGAAACCCCAAAAAGGGCTTAAAAGGGGTTACACTCAAACTGAGAATTCAAACCACAAGAAAAAACTAAAAAGAAAATCGAAGTGTTGAAAATGATACTATTTGCTAAATTAAATTATTTATTTTAACTTTATATTAAAGAATAGCTGAAAACTAGAAAAAGTTGGCTAATGTTAACAGAGAAATAATCCTTCATGGATCAACATTTTTAATTTTTCTATTATGTCTAATTACAAATGACCTGGTTTTCATAATATGGCAACAAAATGTATTATTTTTCAGCTGGTGGACATTAAATGGAGAAGGAAACTATTCAGGCAATGTTCCCTCTGATCATAATCAAATAAACTATTAGCTCAGAATATTTAAGAAGTAAGAAAGCCTGAAAGGAAATAGCTCAGTGTAAAAAAGGGAAACAGGACATACCAAGTCACCATTAGAAAAGCCATATATAGGTTATAACCACACTTGAATGTTTTCTGAACTTAGGTCAGTTTTCTAAAGAGCATTTTGCGGCTTAACTGCAATAACCTTACATACTGTATCAAGAACAACTGAGTCTAGTCACACCCCTCAGTAAATGAAGACAATAAACAGATATAAAAAAAGACATGAAAAACACCTTTCTTAGGTGTAAGTGTTTGGCACTGTTTTCCCTCTCATCTAGAACAAGTAAGCAAGTGGCTCTGCATTCACAGTCAGGCTCAAGGAATGCCTTGTTGCCAAGCAACACTTCCCTCTAAACGTTGTGCCAGGCTGATCCCTTTTACCAACAGGGTGGAGAAAAGAAGTGAGTCGCTCAGGGTAACCACAGAGAACCTAAAACAGACCTCATATTATACCACTGAAAAACGGGGAATAATGATCAACAAAATGGCAATTCTTTTGTACAGACAAAAAACAGATGTGCTTGAAAAGAACATAATCCTGTCATTTCACAACACAATATGCAATGTGGTCTTCCACCCCTTAGAAAACTCGCAGTGTTGGCAGAACACCAATGTTCTGCAAGCACCAATGAGCTCCAGCCTTCACAATAATGTGTAGAATACAGTTGTACCAACAGACCTTGGGCAATACGTTTTCAAGTCAGGTCTTTAAACTTGGAGAAAAATAACACAGATACACTGGTAAATTGTGGCATGGAGCATAGTGAGTGTGGCAATTATGCATTGTCTGCTTTATATGAGCTTATTCTATACTCATTTTAGATACAGTGCTTATAAAGGCATGACAAATAAGATAAAATCCATTATTAATTAGGGATGACTGTGGAGCATGGCTGTATTCTGTATACCACAGTGAATCTCTTATTCAAGGCACAAGGAAAGGGGCAAAAAAAGTCCTCCTCTGGTTCTCAGGTCCAGGCTCTGACAATCCAGCACCGCAGGGGCTGTACATCACAGCTAGAACAAATCATTTATCAGAACAATGCGTACAACATTTAACCTTCCTAGTCTCTTATATCTGTCTGGAGCAAGGATTTTTTTACTAAACATTGCACTTACTAGGCCTAACCATTTAAAATTCTGTTTATACTGTGGTTTGAGTTGACAATGACTGCCCCGGAATCATTAGGTTCCTTCTAAGTAGAGTATTGATGTGACCACTGGTATGAATAATTGTTAATGAAACACTGCCACTTAAATTATAAAAATAATTTCTGTAGAAAAAGCAGTTGGGAATTAAGAAAAATCTCCTTATGCTGCCCAGCTTTCCTGGCCTCTGATTAAAGGATTCTAAAAGCACTAAACAGACTGATCAAATTACTCTATAAACCTCTTTCCAAAGAAGAGGAAAAAATGGTTTCTGAATTAATTTCTTACAACAATGAATTGCTTTTAAACCAAACCCGGGAAGTAAAGCATACTTACAAAGGCAAACCCCACTGCTGCATACGCTACTGCACAGCCAAAACAACTGAACCTTTTACTCCTAACACCCGTGAACTTACAGGGGGGAAAAAAGAGGGAATCTCACAACTATTCACTAATCTTTCAAACACTTTATTTCATTCCTGGAAATCTGGCTTTGTCTTGGGCCGGGGCGACATGTGAAAAAAGGCTGAGGATTAACAGGCAAAGTGCAACAATCAATGCACAGGCCCACCTGAAGAAACTCATCCCAACATCAAGGTACAGTCTGGAAAACTGCTGATAAATTAACATTAAAATTGATCAACTTTGAGATGGGCAATATTCTATTTATCTTATATATTTAATGATCTCTAAGGAGCCTTCTTGGAAAGTCTGTCAGAGCATTGATGTCTTAATGTACAGAATATTTAATTATGCTATATTGGAAATTCAGTAACATAGGCAGTGTTGAGACATGTGATGAAGATGAAGGTTGAGCGCTCCCACTATTGGCAGAAAATCAGTCCCCAGATCAGTGTTAGAGCACTTGATCAGAACAAAACTAGCCAGCACTCGTCTCCAGAAACTATCCCTGCAGCTCCAACCAGACAAAATATATAAGTACAATTAAAAAAAAAAATCAGACAAGTGTGGTTAAAATATTTTTGAGATATAAATAAAGGTAAAAATAAAGGTAATGGATAAAGTTTGAAGCAAGTAATCATTATCAGACTGTCCTATTAAACAGCTTAAACAGAAACCTTTGCATATTTTTCTAAGGAAGTGTTCTACAACACCCATCCATTTTCTAACAGCTTCTTCCAATTCTGGGTCACAGGGAGCTAGAGCCTATCCCAGCAAGCATTTAAAACAAAACTGAAAGAAAATGAAGTTTCCATTCATCCATTTCCTAAACTGCTTTATCCCCTTCAGGATCTCAGGGGAGCCCGAGCCTATGATGGCAAGCAATGGGCAGAGGGCAGGATGCAGCATGGACAGGACACCAGCCCGTCACAGGTAAGACACACTCACATCAGAGCCAATTCTACAGAAGTCATGCAAACTCCACACAGATAGCACCCCAGGAATTGAACCCAGGGCCCAAGCGCTGCAAGGCTGTTATGCTAACCACTGAGGAGCCACCAGACAGCAATTAGGGATGTACAAATCTACAGGGAAAAGTAGCGATGTACAAATACTGGTCTTGGAGGGCTGGTATGTCTGCAGGTTTTAACGAGCTAAATCAGTTAACTGGACAATGTAACAGCTTGTACCATCTGCAGACACTGGCCCTCCAAGGCCAAGATTGGGCAGCACTGGATTAACAGTGTTCTTTTCAGAAGGTTCACTGTGAATGTGCATGCCAATCTAAATGTATTTATACAGTACCTATACAGCCCTTCTTTAATCTGCCTTTCAAAAATCAATAATTTATATAAAACATAACTTAAGTCTCAATGGAGGGTCTATTTTACCTTCTGTTCTTTTTTCCTTTTTAATAGCAGCTGCTACAAATTAAGTTTGACTGGGGATTTTCCATATGGATCTCTACAGTTTAATTATGCATGATTCACAAGTAGTGGACACAAACCTATATTTTGCTCAAGAGCAAAAGACCACATCGGAAAAACACCCCCTCCCCCCCCACCTCCTGAACTTCAGAGTGTTCCACATGTCGCTCTTTAACAAACATAAAGGCTTATATCACCAGTATACATGTATGAATCATTAATAGACAAGAATAATGGAAAGCTCACTTTTTCCATAAAGCTTAGTTGATAACCTGTCAGTTTTATCCTGCTTGTGGCTATTGCAGTTTCCACAAAGACTAATACAGAGGAACAAGTTCTTAAAACAAGTTTCTGGAACCTAACTAATGTGACCCTAGAGACCTTAAAAGAGAATAAGAAGCTGAGGAAATACAACCACCTTCAAAACACTTGAAACCCATGGAATCTGAAATAACAAGAAAACTGCAGGCATTCTACAAGCATCTAGATGAAACGACTCAGCCTTTGCACTAAGTTCATTCCTCGGGTTCCTGAGGAACCAGCTTGATAAGATTCTTGGATCAATAACCTATCAGCAACCTGTGTAATAGCCCATAACTGATGTATTATGGGTGATGATCATGATGGATCGCAGAGAAAGAGCTTAATATTACACAGCCTTGGTCAGTGGCCTGACAGCTCCAGATTCCTGGGTTCAATTCCACATTGGGATGTCTGTCTTTGTGATGTCTAAGCAAGATAGGTGGGACTAAATTGTCCAACTGAGGATGGTTCAAGAGGAATTAATTAGCTGTTCCTCCAATTTCCCAAGATAACCAGTAGTAGCTATGGGACTAAAGAGAAATAAAATCAAGCGAGCATGCTTAGAAACGTGTTTGTTTTGAATTTGCAATACTGAGCATCTGGTATTTTTCAAGACTTATGCTGTAACTTATGACAGACCTATTCCTTAGTTCAGAGGGACACAGAACACATCTGCTTTCCCAAGGTTCTTTTATGAGCCAGTGATCACCCAATAAACAAAAAATAAAATATTATACAAAAATGAAACAAGATTTGAATATTAGAAGATGGGTGGCACACTTCCTAAGAACAACTGAACAAAAACAGTCTGTCTACAACTGGAATGTATTCTTTTATGTCTGCAGCTAAGCAGCATACTTTAATCAAAGTGATTTGTGGTCCAGGAGGTCATTTTCATTGGGTGCATTTCTTCACAAGATCACTGTCTTTAAGGAACTACAATTTCACTAATATTACATACCTGCAATGTAACAGATTTTCACATCACAGCTTTAAACATAGCCGAGTGTTGCTTTTTGCTTAGAAAAACTGGGCTCGATATAAGTTCAGAAATACAAAAAGGACGGTGAGTAATGTGAAATGAAAAACTATCTGTAGCCAGTATTGCTAGATGTCGATTATTAAGAGTGAATCAAAAATAAAAAGGAAACATTACAAGTTTATAAAACATTCTTCTGCTGCATGTGACCAGAGCTAATTCCCCATGTCATTCCATTGTGCACAGGATTTATGTAATCTGCCTACGTCTATGAAAATGGCAAAAAGACCAGTGGATGACCTCTTCTTAAAACAAAACACTACACAGGACCTTACAAGGAGAAAAAACATTTAAAAGCAAAACCTCTTATTAGACTGCATTTCTCAAATAGTCTTCATCCCACTCGCAAGCAAGCAGAAAGCAGGACTGCTACAGTACCGCATTGTTCAATCAGTACATGCATGGCCTTGAGTAGTTTTGCAGAAAAAGCGTGTTATTATTGTTGTTTTTGTACTTTATTATACGTCTAGCCGACCTGATCGAGGTCCCAGCAGACAGAGTGTATCCTAACAGTCTCAGCGAGGTGCGAAACGGTCTTGGACAAGGTACAAATACCTCACGTACTGAAATCATCTGGTGCAGCGAGCAAGACTGAAAAAACCTCACTGGCGCAGGCAAAAACCCCGAGAATGTAGCGCGCAGTTAAGACTACAGGGGAACGCGGTTTTCCCCGTCAACGGAAAGTTTTTAATTTTCATAATATACTCGATGAACCATAGCCAGAGGGGGGGAAAAAAAGAAAAGCGATTATCAAAACAGCAGCCAAGACAGAAATGAGCCTGAAAAATACCCCCTCGATTCGTGCAGCATTCGCCTCGTTTGTGAACGCTTTGCCAGGTCATTTTTTTTACTCTCAGCTGCCCAAGTCCGAGGTGCAATGCAAAGCCATCTATCCAAGCAAGCTGGGCATCAGGTTTACAGTAGAAAATGTTTTTTTTAAAACCACAATAAACAGTAACTATGAGATAAGAAGGGTGGATGGATGAATGAATGACGTTAAACAGCGCACTAGGGTTTGGACAGGAGCCCGGTGCACTAGATACAGTTTTCAACTGATCCAAGTTTCCTACTGACTCAGACAGGTCGATGGCGATCTGAGCAGTGCCGGTGGAGAAAGCGTTAACTGCAGCATCCCGAGTGAAGTACCTTCCCCTAAACACCCGGCGTTGGCACCGCTCCCTCTAACTGGCCGGAGCGCGAATCCACTCACATCTACAGGACAGGAGAAGTCACACAAGCAGGTGCTGATGTGGCAGGGAGCACGAATCGGCAGGGACATGCTTTCGGCGTTTTAAATCAAACGGCAATGAATAGCAGAGGGGCCAGCGCAGTAGCGAGCTATCAGTGAAGTGAGGGGAGTTAGTGAGCATCTGCAGACGGGAGGCATTAACTGCACGCTGTCAGAGTTCAGTATCCAAGTTCCTACTTTGCTGTAAAATTACTGCAGGAGAAAGACAAGGTCGACATGTGTCACACGATCACATCGCGACTGTACCGTCCCGCCGCGTCCAGTTACACCTGGCGACACCGTTAACGGAGAACGTTGCCCCCCAAGTCGTTTCTGAAGTTGCGGGAGCAGGCGGCTGTGCAGCCGCAGCGTGTAATTATAGTCGTGCACACAGGCCGTGCTCCCGGGGGGAGGTCTGGCGAAGGCGGGGAGGGGAGTCGGCACTCACCTGCGCGATCTCCCGCTGGCCATGGCGACCCCGTCTGCCGACGAGCCCCGGAGCACGACCCGCCGCTGACTTGTCGCCTTCTCCTTCCTCTTGTTCTTCTTCAGATGCCTCCCTGCTTCGGGGGATAGCGGTGTAAGGTCGACGTCCACCCGCTGTCAGTCCTCGTTAGTGCAGCCTGTCCTTCGGCGACGGAGACATCCCGGCTGCGCGATTACATTTTGAGCCACCTCGGAGCGCCGCTTCTGTGTGACCAAGTCCCTCCGCAGCGCAGCTAACTTTCTCCGGGCTTTGCAACTGTCACCACCTCGGGGTGCTGTCAGTGTCCGCGGTGTGGCAACGGGGGGACGGACGCCGAACTGCGCATATTTTCCCTTGTTTGAGCCCCAGTCAGCCGCCGCTCGCCCTTCCTCTGCGATGACAGCGCGTCTGTGTTATTTTCGCCGCTACGGATTTTTTTTGTCCATCCCGCCGATTCTCGCGCCCAACCTCCTTCTAGAAAAATGTTTGAATCTGCGCACGCGGCCCCGGATCTGATTGGTCGGAGGCGTGGGCGGTCCCTCGCTCTCGCCGTGCGGCGTGTGACGTATTTTGTTTGGTCGGGAGGGGGTGAGTCCCAATGTGCTCAATGGAGTTGTAGTTTTTACGGATTAGGCTGCACATAAAATTACTTTTGTTTTTATAATGAAGGGGGGCGCGAGTCCGTCATTTCATTTTTTTTTATGTACCGGAATAATTAAACAAGTAAGCCTACAAATACTTAGAAAATATGACAAATGAAAAAATTCCATAAAGATGTCTGTGAGGACTAAATAAATCATTATTTGATAGGTAGCAAACATACGACGTTGCTAGAACCTGACTTATTTCAAAATACCCTATTTCAAAACGGAGACTTGTTACGTCGGTTTGTAACCATTTGCTTCTATGTAACTATGTAGATTTGCTTTGTCTTAATACCACCATGTATAAGACTTTTAGCCAGTTAAATATGGTTTAAAGGCATACAGAGCACATAGCACATTTGCTTCGGTTTCTTAGAGGTTGAGACGCAAACTGCTCTGTTTTAAAACGGGGGGAATAAAATTCAGAAACGTCTTTGTTTTGCATGCTGGCAAGAAGCAATGCAAATAACACCTGATACCGAATATAACTTAACATTGTATTTTAAAGTGAGAGGAAGAGTCACATTTAACTTTGGAGGTCAGACCCATACTCTGCAGCGGCAGATATGTGGGTTTATAAAGTAAATCTGGATGTTTGGTTTATGAAAAGAAAAAAAGAACCGGTTCAAATGCACAGTTCATTCTTGACACTAATAAATACTGCCCCCTGGTGTTCATTATTTTATAAAGAACTGCCTTCACGTATCATTAATGTGAAAAAAGAAATTAGGGGATAGTGCAAAGGATATATGTCACCATCAAAAAGTCTTATTACCTAAACAGCAATTATTTCTGAAAGGAAGAATCGCTTAAATTTGCGATTTATTATCATTAACACTACTACTTATTTTGCCTACTCAAAATAAGAATAATTCTTTTGAAGTTAGCATTAGGCAAAGGAAAAAAACGACAGGTCCGAACGCAGAGTATTCAGAGTAGTGTATTTCTGAGCATGCAAACGAATATATTTCTATTTTTTTATTTCCCCCGTTTTAAAATAGAAAGAGCAATTAGTGTCTCAGCTTTTCAAATACCGAAGCAAATGTGCTATGTGTTCTATATGTCATCTCTATTTAAACTCATCCATGGTATTTAAAACGGGAAGTTTCAGCAGCATTTTATTCCAAAGTGCTGCTATAAAAATACACCCTTTCTTTGGCCGCCATCGCATCATCCAGCCAAGAGCTACTGTACACATTGGTGGTGGAGGGCAGTCCCCATTACCTGTAAGTGTCCAGCAAAGCGCTATATAAATGTAAAATTAATATTTTTTATTGTTGCTATTTTCCGGGCACACTTCAGTTCAAAGTGCTTGTCAGAATGCACACCCCGTTTAGCAATATAAATAAAGTGCCGTGCAAAAGTATTCAGCCCCCTTAGTCAGTATTTGGCATAAGACACTTTCACTGCCATTCCTGCTGTGAGTCTTTTGGGAAAAGGTTTTATAGGTCTTGCACACTGGGATGGTTCTATTTTAACTTTTTTGGGGGGGTCAAACTCGGTCAAGTTCATTTGAGATCAGTGATAGCAAGGAAATGACTTGAAAAACATCATACCAATATCTAAGATCAGTAAATGCAATTAAAAATATATATATACAGGGGAAACCAGGATTAGCAACCCTGCTTTTACAAAGAGTCCTACAACACTTTAAAGACCAGGTAGTCAGGACCTCAGTTTAAGGGTGTCGTCTCCACCTGCTGCAGTCACCCCATCACCATACTGAGGTACTGCATTGGAAATTCTGGTACAGAGGAAACAGTCCAACTTGCTGATCCACCAAGATCGTTCACAGCAGCATCAATGTTTTGCTTCAAGGTCTCCATTTCTAGGAATGACCACACCCAGTCTCACATAACATCCAAGATCTGGGATCAAGCTGGTAATGTCAAATAGCACAGTACAGACACCTACCTTATTGCGTGATCTTCAGATTTCTTGAGCTCTTCTTTTTTCTAGTAAATTTAAAGCACTGGCCTACACACAAAGTGTCTGTTAAGATGTGTAGGTCTGAGATGAGTAACCTGGAGTTAATTAAACACAATGGAACGCCAGAGTGTGAAGCAATTACTTTATTGCACTAAGTTTGAAAAGTCATCACGCATGCTGACAGCAATGTTGTATCCTCGGTAACTTCAATTGTTTTATTAGCAAACAAGGGGAAAAAAACATTTCTGTACAGATCGAAGTATAGTACAATATATACTATTATAGTACACTGGCTTACATTACATATAATTAGTACAGCAGTCACAAAGAAACAAACCTCTGGTTTGTTGGAAATTACCAGTGTTGCCCAGACTAGGCAAATTTACTACCTCTTTCCATTTCTTTCATTGAATGGACAACAATATAGACTATATTCTAAAACAGAATCATATATACACTAACACAAGCTATTTATACACATTCTAACAAATTTCCCTCTTACTTTGAAAGTGCTTGGATGTGTTTTCTCTTGTACAACTTGCCCACACCAATTCATTCTCTCCGGCTGTCGAGTTATTGCTCAGCCTCAATGTTAAAAAAAGAGACGGCATCCCACCTTTTAATCCATCATGGAAGTCGAGTTTGGATTTTGCCATCTTTTCACACAGTTGGCACAGATAATGGAGTTCAGTGCATGTAAATCAGATGTAAGGTACTTCCAAGACTACCGACTGCAATCAAAGATACTTCACGTACATCATAATTTGTGAGCCAGGACTTTCACAGAACAAGGTACTTAAAATTATTCTAGCACTTCACACTTCTCAAAATGGTCTCCCTCTTCAACAAACATGGCTGAATTCTCCTTTGGGCTCTCTGCACTGAGTGGGCAGCCTCTTACGAGCTGTCAGGCCCTCTGGTGTGTAGGTCCAGCTCCGATCTGGAGCTTGACAAAATGGTGTTTGGAAGAAGTCAGACCAGTTTCTTAAGGGCCTTGATCAGTTGTGAATTGGGAAGAACCCGTGAAACCCCGCAGGTTTCCAGATTAGCCCAGAAAGAGATTTCCCTCTTCCCGGTCGACATCGTCAAAGCAGAGAGGTCTGTTTGGCCACGTGTGCCATGTCACGTACTTGAGGCCTCCATCACCTTTGAAGCTCACCATTTTCTGCTGGTCAACACGAGGTTTTCCTCTTGATTTAACCAGGAACTTCAGGTCATTTCAATGATTTCGGTGGTGGGGGATGGGAGGCTGCTCATTCTGGCAACTCTCCTCCAACCAATTCAAGAAAGAGGAAATATTTTCAGTGAAATGATGAGGCTCAGATTTAAGAATAAGTCATGAACCAAATTGCTGTGATGATTTTAAATATCTTGCGCTATGCTTTTACTGACCTTTTACTTTTACTTTATGTGACTCGATCTAAAAATATATGTACCACCATTATAAAATACCTTCATTACATTTAGGAACACTGCATTTAGAGGCACCTTTTTGAAAACAAAATCACGTGTGTGTGTGTTTACCATTACAGTTTAAATGTGAGGTTAATTATTCATAGTTTTTTTCTTCAAAAACTATGTGCATGACACAGTACACTGATACAACAGTTAACCTTTTTTGCTTCTAAAGTTAACTGAACTTTAAGGCCACTGAAAATAAAAATGAAGCAGATCTAGAAAAAATGTCAATGTGTTCTGGACAGTAGTGCAAGAAACGAGAGTGGGACAATGTTTTTTTTTTTTTTTCATTGCCTGGCCCATCTCTAAAGATGCTTTGGGATCTACAGATAAAAAAGTGATTGTAGAAAATTTAGACCAAAACTGAAGAGAAATGTTACCCCCTAGGTACTTTGGCTGATAACCCTTTTACACTGCAAATGTATTCTACAAAATAAAATACATAAAGACTTTCGCTTAAAATGTGAAAACAACAAATGATGCTGTGAGCAACTAAACAGTTAAATAATGCTGTGATCACATTTCCAATTGTCATTGAATGCCTCTGTGCTACGTGATGAAGTCACAAAGTGTTAATAGAGACCAAAGACCTCTATATCTGTCCTGAATAAAAGCAATTCCGAGTAGCTATATAGGCCTTTTAACTGGGTTGCGTTACCATTAAAATGTTGACGTGCTTTTCATATACCCTGACATCCTCGTCATAGTTTTTAGAATAATTTATCACTGAGAGAACGAGATAAAAAATAGTAAACCTGAGCTGCTGTGTGTTACAAAATAAAAAATAACTGCAGTTTTCCACAGTCTGTAAGTATTCGGATTTATTTCTAGATGCAAGATTCCCTTGGATCCCTTAGGAAATAGCTGGATGGGCTGGATGAGATCCTTAAGTCAATCAGCTAAAAAAACAACTAGTAGCTATCACAGGTTGAATGCCCCTTTCCGTCAGTGGCTTGATTGTGGCACGTTATAGCATAAGAAAATACAGTACAATCCAATCAGTAAATGGAACAACTGCAAATCGAGACCATGCAGGTACATGCCTCCAGATGATGTCTGTAGCTTGACTTCAAGACTAAGATTAAACAGCTAACTTTCAGAAAGCAGACCTGCTGTTTCTGGATACATTTGCACTGTGCCAGAAATACCACCTGATAAAGGCTCACTGGAACTCTCCTTACATTGGTCATTTTTGAGGGGTGAAAGAGAAAAGTTCTAAAATTACTACTTAATGCAACTGTTCCTAATCTTCAATTGTCTTTTTAGGGACATAATAATAGCAAGAATAATATAAGTATTGTGAATGACTGGCATCGAGAAAATAATGCAGCCATTTTTTGAAATGCTGAAATTACTAGTAAATCTACGCTGAGGCTGAACACAAGTACTCATTTATAATCACTGTAGTCTAGTGCTTTACACAAAAACACTGTTTTCTCATCAACACTTGAGGGTTTGACAACGTGGTGACGTTAGCAAGTACAAAACACGTTACCTTCTAGTTTCACAACAGATTGACTATGGTTCCTTCAGATCTGCATTAACAACACTGGTTCTAAAATGTAAACAAAACAAAAACCTTCAACATTTGCCTGATCTTCGCTTTTATAGTGTTGGAAATGTTTAATTAGTCTGATCGAAAACTCAGCAGTCTGGCTAGAAGAAAATAAAATCACATTCCTTATATTTTTACACATTTCTTACAGGTCATACTTTTGTTTTTCTATCTTTGAAAAATGAGACAAGGGCTTTTTTTTTTATGAATACTGCACCATCACATTTTCCAACAGTTTAGATTTCCAAAGTGCAGATGGTGCCAAACTGCACAAAGCTAATAGTGCAATGCTAGTGCTGTGCGCTTTCTTTAATGAGTATTAATGTTATACCAGCATCAGGTAAGGCAACAGAACTACTGCGTAATGAGCAAAGCCAGTGCATGTATATGGTTTCAATGAGAAAAATCAGACTATTCAAGGTAAAATCACTGGTTATAATATGGTATATAGTGGCAAAATATTCACAATCAGATGAGAAATTTGCATCATCCTTTGAACTAAATTTAGTACTGCTAAGTGCCAGACTATTTTAAGTTGTGCTTGATTACAATGCGGAATATTTTTGATTGTCCATTATGACCACAATCCGTGGTCCTCTCAACCCCTGCTCTATTCATTCTAAATTCTAAGTCTTAAGACTCGGAGATGATGTTTAAAGGAATGAACTCCACATCATGAAACAACACGTACGGAGGAGCGAAGCAGTCTTGTTCGTGTTCGTTCAATTCTTCACAGTGCATGTCCTGTATTACCGAGCTGTGATCGTCACCCTGGGTAGCAGTAAGGCAGAAGCTTTCATACACACTGCCAATCTTAAACTCGCCGTCATGCAGTAAAGAACAAGAGAAAATATGGAAACCCTATGCTTTGATACAACCCGATTGCTTCACTACAACAAGCCCCCAGTAATGCAGCCTAGGCTATGGAGGGGATCGGACTTATGGATCGGCTTCTCTATCCGAAACACACAAGGCTAAAGAAGAGCCTTTCCAATCAGGAGTGATCCATTGGCTCAGTGGCAATGGTCAGCTCGGTGTCCTGGCTGTCCATGTCTTCCAGTTCCTCTGTGGTCGTGCCTTTTCCAGTGGGCTTCCTTGCTGTCACTTCCACCCCGCTGGATGTGCCAAGAGCGGACACGTCCATGCCCGAAGGCTCGTGGTCGCCAATTCCCAGGACGGGCTGCGGCGCCATGGTCCTTGTGCCGTCTGTCCTACTTCCCAAGCTCCCGGCCTCCGCTTTCCTGGGGGCGCGCTCTCCCGGCGCGGGCTCCCCCCCGCCCTGTTCCCGCAAGTGCCTGTCCATCGACGCCTGGATGGAGGACACCATCTCTTGCAGCTTCTTGCGCTGCGCCTCAATCATGCCGGGGTCCAGGTGCCTCCCGTCCTTCATGGTCACGAAGCCCGGCGCCATGCGGACCAGCTCCTTGGCCGCGTCCTCCGAGATGTCGGACAGCTCGGCCCCCGGCTGGGGAGCGCTGCCGCTCAGATCCACCCCGCTGCTGTGCTTCCGCGAGATGGGCCGCTCCCGGGGCTTCTGCTCGGCGGGGGAGCTGCCCGCCGCGCTCCCCAGCGAGTGGCCCTTCCCCTGGAAGGCCGTGACGTGGTGCGACTGGTCCGACTTCTTCCTGACCACCCCTCCGCTGCCCAGCTTCAGCAGCCCGTGGGAGGGGCTGCCCTCTCTGCTGCGCGAGGCGGCCTCCGAGCGCAGCTGGGTCAGCGCCTCCTTCACCAGCTCCTCCACCTCCGGGCCCACCGGGAAGTGGCCCGCCACGTCCACGCACAGCTCCAGCCGGTCCTCGGCCGCGTTGAACACGAAGGTCTTCCCGGGCATGTGGGGCAGCGTGCAGTGCTTGCCGTCCATCAGACCTGCAGGGGGGAGAGACCCACACCCCTGCATCAGCAGCACTCCGGACCCTCCCTCTCGCGTGGAGGGGAGCGTGCCACCTCACAGCCCAGACCAGCACACACCAGCCCACACCAGCCCACACCAGCCCAGACCAGCCCAGACCAGCCCACACCAGCCCACACCAGCCCACACCAGCCCACACCAGCCCACACCAGCCCACACCAGCCCAGACCAGCCCACACCAGCCCACACCAGCCCACACCAGCCCACACCAGCCCACACCAGCCCACACCAGCCCACACCAGCCGGCCACAAGGGACGATGTATAATATCAAAATAACCCACCGCCTGCAACACAACGACGTACACTGTAACAGAGCGAACACAGGACTCCCGCCCTTTAAAAATAACCCCATTTCAGATTTCAATCAAATCACATTTTCTCCTCCATGGCACAGCTGAAGGTGGATCTCACTGAGAGCGTGTGGTACAGTAATGGGGACTGAGATGTACTGCACAGACTGTACAAGCCGTTAAAAGATATGAACTTATATGTGTGACTTCCATAAATATAAGTGCAGTGCGGTGGCTCCGTGGCTAAGGATCTGCGCTTGTTGCTAGAAGGTTGACGGTTCGAATCCCATGGCCAGCAGAGGAATCCTACTCTGTTGGGCCCCTGAGCAAGGCCCTTAACCCCAGCTAATTATAAATGGCATTTATGGCCATATAAACGGCTTACCCTGTGCTCTGACCCCAAGCTTCTCTCCCTGTCTGTGTGTCTCAGGAAGAGCAAGATGGGGTATGTGAAAAAGACAAATTCCTAATACAAGAAACTGTACATGGCCAATAAAGTGATCTTATCTTATCATACTTCAAAAAGCTGCACATCTCCTGTAGTTACTTTATTTGTATACTAGTGTCCTGGACACAGCTACACATTAACAGTAGAAGGAAAAGAAAATGTTTAAGTATTAAAGGAAAACGGGCTGAAAGTGTTTGTTTCAGGCAGCTTAACCCGACAGAGGAAAACCTTAAAAAGGGATGGGAGAGATGCTGTGGATGTGTTCTGGCTGCAAATACTGAACCTGATTTAAGTAACAGATTTGTGTGCGGGGATATCCTGCAGACGTCGGTGGATTAAAAAAAATGCTATTAACACCTCAAAATGCAACATCGACATTAAAGAGATGGGAAGGTGCTTCTGAAATTACCCATGTCTTTCTTCATGATGTTGTAGAAGACCCCGCCGTGCTGAAATAAGTGAGGCAGCTTCTTGGCGTAAGACCAGACGTCTTCTCCTGTAAATACACAAACCACGGCAGTAAGTTATTCTGGGGGCCTTTGGAAGGCTCTGGCATGGCAGTCGTGTAGCAGAGAAACCTACAATGTAGATAAAACAGCCACATGGATATTCCACAACCTCACCTCTTCGTCTGAACATGAACAGACGTCCATTGCCCAAGCTACAATGTTTAATACCTACAGTAAAGTGCCTTCTTGTTTTCCCCTAAGGGGTTCAAGCAGTGTGCCCCAATGCAAATGACGCTCCCACACCGTGAACACACTGTACATAAAGGCGGTTACACTCCATCCCAACTGGAACACACACTCTACAAACCCTGTCTGTCACTGCTGTGCTTCTCAAACGGTGGGCCACAGAAAGACCTCAGGTGTGCCACAATCCCAGGAGAGATCAGGTTTAATAAGGAGAAGGAGCTTTGTGCAACTCTATCCAGCATTTAAACAAATCTTAAACAGCTGTGTTCTCTAAAAGGAGCTCACATTTCTCTCTGAAATTCTGGTCAAAAAAAGGGACGACAGACATTTTTAATCAAAACTGCAATATATGCTTCAGTGTGAAATAGATATAATATCTTTATTAGGGGCCCATACTTCAAAATAATTTGGTGTACCGCAAAAGGTTTGGAAGTTATAAGTGTGCCATTAACTCACAATCAAATGCTCCACAGAGTTCTGTGACCTTTACATGTTGCTTGGTCAGATCATTCAATATCACAGACTTCAGGGGTTTCATCTGTAGGCAGGTGACCCCCAGATCTATTTGCAGTGCAGATCCAACTGCTGCCATTTCTGAATGTGTTGTGTGTCAGTCTGATCTTGAGATATGGACACAACAGACCTTTCTTGACATACACTGTGACAAGACATCAACATCAGCTTGACAGTACCACAATCAAACCTTTCATCAGTTAGAAAACTGACTTGCTTTTGCTTTGTAATTTGAAGGGCAAATTAAGAATGTTAAAAGGACGTTTCTTCCTCCAGTGTATTACTGCTTGGTTAAAACCCTACATCTAATTATCTTCTGCTGAAATATCGATGCATAGCTTTATTTCACCAGGGTTGGACTATTTTAACACCTTAGGTACTGGTGTACTTCTAAAAGGCCAGGTTTAGTACTGTACAAGTATATCCAAAATCAGGTGACTTATGAGCCAAATAAAAGTACTCTTCCTCAATATCTTACATCCGTCCTCTAGTCCCAGTGAATGTTAGCATGGGCATCAAGGTTCTCCTGCTTACATAAAAGGCACTGAATTATCAAGCTCTAGTGTGTCTTAAGCACATATTGTACAAGTACTGTAATCAGCACATATTGTACAAGTACTGTAATCAGAGACTGTCTGATTCAGATTCTCATCCTGCCAAAAACCAGGCTACAAACAATGATCCAGCAGAATCTCTGCAGCTCTCAATGCTTTAAAAACAGTTTAAAAAGTTTTTCAACAAAGTTAATTCTAAAATAATTTTGCTCTTGAATTAACAGGTCAGTTTGCTATTTGTCACCACATTCTTTTTCTTTTGTGCATGATGCATGCACGGTTTTACAGCGCCTTGAGTTTCTTGAAAGCATTCACAGATAAAACCATATAGTTATTGCTATTATTTTTATATTGGATAACATCAAAAATACACACAGGGATTATTCATAGCGTTGTTTTGTTCAAGCAGATCTCTAATGCTAGGAATCAGGACACCAAGCTGTTTACATCTTAAAACAGCAAAATGACTCAGCTCAGTTAGAACAAGTAAAAATTTCCCTGCAGAATGTACACATTCCGCTACTACTACTACTATACAAATAGCCCATACCAACAGAAATTTGAATTGTAGACGCACCTCGGGATATATTCTTTCTAAACATTTTAAACTAAAAAGGAATCATTAACATAACACAATTGTGCTCTAGGTGCATCTCTTGCCTTCTGACTGGGGTGGATGCAGTAATAAAAAGAATGCAGACATCCCGGACAGCTCAGAAAGTGAAGAAATCATTTATTATCAGCCACGTGCCTCTCGCCTGTTGTTTATATAGGACGCCTGCGTAGGGATGAGACACTCTGGTTCTTTGATTTGAACCAGAAGGAATCTTGAGGAGTTGGTGGGAGATTCCAAGAGCTCACTGAGATTTTCACTCTTTTTCCCTGTTTTGTCTCTTTTCCAGATTTTTGCAACAGTGGCTCACAGCGGCCTGTGTCATGCCAGAACATCACAAGGCCTGCGTGGCACAAAAATCAAGTACAGTCAAGGATTAGGCTGACAGGCCTCCAATTTCGTCATAGCAAATGTCTTAGTTCACATGGACACTATTAGCATTTAGCAAATTTGGACAACTATTATATGTCTGCAACACAGGCTTTACCATGATTACATTTTGAACACTTGTGCAGCATCTATTAAATACAACAAAGACATTTACACCAATGCAATGCAAATTCTATGAAAATACATTCCGGAAATTGACATAAGTCTCTTAATTATATAATAATTATACAGTATCTTAGCAATGAAAAGATTAGACTGAATTTAGCACTGCCATCTGAAGCCCACAGCAAACTGAATACATAAACACATGTATAATAAACCAACATGTTCCTTAGCAACACGTTAACGGTACTGATACTATTTGAATCTCTTTTGTTGGGCTTTATTTATTAGGCCTGTCCACAAGTGTATGGCACAGTCTTTATATATCTTCTTCAGTACAAGTACAGTTTAAGCACTGAAGTTAGGAGACCTTTGAGACATATTACACATCACATTTGACTCACAAAAATAAATGAATAATAAATTGAAAAGTTTGCAGGACTCTTAATAAGCCTACAATCTAAAGAATTCAAAGCATGAAGATCCTCTTATGTTAGGTGTTTCTGGAAAGTAGGTTGGTGTGTCAATTGCATACACTAAGAAGCCCTGTGCTGGAGGAGATAAACTCATTCCAGGCTCTTACTGAGGAGACCTATGGCAATTTACTTGATCTACTGTTCTCCACGCATAATTAAGGGCTTGACAATATTCCAGCTAGACAGATCAAATAATTTCGACTGTTACAGAGGAGTAACACCAGAGACATGTTTCACATCTTGACAATGTCCGAATGCGACTTGAGAAAGAGGTGAACATATTGAACAGACTGGGCTTCATCTGCTCTAAGTCATTAATATAATCCTTGACATGATGTCTCTCCATGACAGCACATTCGTCAGCAGGGACATTTTGCTGAGGACTGGAGTGTCTCCTGTAGTAACAGTGAAACAGTGAAAACGCTGTACCCTTGTCTAACTACACGTCCAAGCCAATTTCAATGTGCAAAGTGCACCCATGCAAGATGTGGAACTTTCTATAGCGAAAAACCAGCAACTGTGAATAAATTGTCACAGGAAAAGTGTAGTTTCTTTGAAAATCACTTTAAAAAAAACCACTTAACACCGAACAGTTCCTAAAAGACCGATTTAACGCATAATGCATGCGTTGCAATTTATAAATGTCCACAGAATGCAACTGCAGCTGATGCAGTGAGGGAGGGGTGATAATAGAAATACAGCGTTTGAAAGTACCCCGCTGTGACCAAGAGCTCCCTAGAGGTTGGGCACAAATGACCAAGCGCCCTGGCTTGGGATAGGGGCTGCCCTGCTGAACACGCGGGGTGGACTCACCTCCCTTCACTCAATGCTTCCTCTGATGTTAATAATTACTCAAGTAGTGCTTCCCAGCCTGTGGCCCATGACACTTCTGCAGTGTGTCCGTGGACACGAAAAATGCAAAGGAACAAGTAATAGGTTTATTCCATGCTGAAAAGAGAAGAGAGAAAACACAACGTTTCGGCTGTGAAGCCTTCTTCAGTTGAAAAATGTAATGTTATACTTCTGATTAAACCTAGAAAGCTCAAACTGAACACTTAAGGGTGATATTAAATGTCAACAATAAACTGCAAAGCATAATCCAAAAACTGGGTCAATATTTGGTGATAGTAAATAATTCTACTGTGAAGTAAGAAAAATGTAAGGTGGACTCAGATTTAAGGCCAAAATCCTTAAATTTGGTCCTCGCTCCAACCCAATTTGACTTTTGAAGTCAGCAAAACAGCACCAGCGATCTCACTGGCATCTAAATAAAGCACACTCATGTTCTTGTGCTTGTGTTCTTCACAAACAAATTTACTGAGTCAATGAATTCAGAGAATCTCAAATAATGGAAGATGGTCTTTTCTCGTGTTACATTTCCACACATGTGGATGAAGAAGTGCATAAGCACAACTACGGCACCAGCGTGTGACGGTCTCCCGCAACATGTCTGGAAGTTGAAAAGGCCTTCGTACAACTCCTCTTCGATTTCCAGAAGGCTGGGGACTGCTGGACCAAAAGATTCCGAGTTCACACAGCACATATGGTCGGAGAAACCCTGGCACAAGGCCAGTGGGGCAAGCAGCACTTAAAAGAGGGAGAAAGAAGCAATTGCAGAAGTCCACAAGCTGGATTTGTCTGCCCAGATGACTTTCCGGATGCTGACCGAAATGACCAACATAAACAACACGAAAGCACTGCTCTTCTTGCAACAGACCAGGCCTAATACCACTTGAAATATGGTGAGAGCCGATGAAATTGAATAAATCTGCTGCAGATGTAATTACACACTTTCGCTCTCATGCATCCCAGGAATGTGGGCTCTGCAGTCTTTGCCACTTTCTACAGAGAGCTGTTTCGGCACTGTGCTGCAGAAAAGTGGCTCAAACCCACATGGCTGATATGGTGAATGTCTGCTTTCTTACCTCCGTTGTCAGGGAACCAACGAGGGAAAATGCATCACTGACCCGATCTTTTCAAGTGATCCAGAGAGAGTGAAAAACGTGGAGGTGAAAGAAGCATTAGGAACCCGTAACCACAACATGATTGGTTTCTAATATATGAGACTGTTTCTAATATATGTTAATAAAGGCAGATTGTAAGGAAATGAGATGAGCCTAAGAAAAAATAGATTGGGTACACCAGAAAAATCG